AAGGATAAGGAAAAGGAGGTGGCGGACGATCACGAGGAAAATGAGGATGCTGACGATGATTAGATGGGCGATCTTATAGCTATAGTAGATGTATCACACATGATCAATGTTGTAATGCAACCGTCTGCACGAAGCTGGCTCGTCTTGAGCGCTAACATGCTTTAAACTACGGCGGGCGCTTACTGGATGGTTGAGGCCCCCATGGGCCTGGCACAGGTTCAGGACCTTGAAAGGCTGGAGTGCTGACAATTTTGATCCAGGTCGCGCCACGACTCCAGGATATGGAAAAGGTGGAAGGTCAAAAACGCGTTGTATACCACAGGAGATGGCGATCGATGACTGGAATGGAGATTCATTGGCTGACGCCGCACCGCCGACCCTTTGGGGCGGCAGTAAGAGTGAGAAACGGAGTTTGCGGAACGATTTCTGGGGAATCTTGGGATTTCAGTTTCTTGGGATTTCGTCAGGGGCGGTTGGCGGATCGCCGCTCTATTCTTGGGCTTCTTTGGGCTCTCTTGGCAGCCTTTTTGAGTCTTCTTGGGAACCGTTTTGAGGCCTCTAGGAGCCTCTTTTGGGCCCCTCGGGGGCTTCGTGGGAGCCTCTTTGGGGCCTATTGGCGCCCCCTTAGGTTTTTTCGAGGCCGAGTGCTCGAAATGTTCATTCGGGTTCCCCTCTGGGCCTCTTCTTTGGGCCGTCCTGGGGCCCTCCTGGGTCGTTTTGGAAGCTTCTGGGGCCGTCTTGGGGCCCTCTTGGGCCGTCTTGGAGCCCTCTTGGGGGCCTCGTGAATGGCCCAAGAGGCGAACGTGCTAACAATACACGTTTTCCCTAGGGAATGGGGCGATTTTTGCTTCTGGAGGGCCTCTGCGGACGCCTCTTGGTGGCTTCTTGGGGCGTCTTTGGGGGCCTCTTGGATTGTCTGGAGGCGATCTTGGGCGTCTTGGAGCGATATTTCGGCGACTCGTTGCCCTCTTGGACCGTCCCGGGAGCCTTTGGCGGCCCTCTTGGCTCGTTTTGGGACTCTGAGGCTCCAAAGGTGCGGCCGGCACCTTTGCCCCCCCCCACCCCCCCTCCAAACCGGCTGGACCGGGCTCCCGGGGGAGGGGTTTGGGGAGGGGGAAGCATCTCACACGCCGTACCCCAAGGGGTCGGTTGATTTCTATTGCCTTTTTGGGGAATGCGTGACGAATATCTCGTGAGCGTTCGGCAGCATGGTGCACGAGAACACAGGGCGAGGAGAAACGGGAGCAGAAGCAGAAGATGCACCGCCGACTCTGGCAGGTTGGCATCGCGCGCGGTACAGCGGTGGTGGTGGTGGTGGTGTGGCCCTCTGCGGTTACAGCCCTCTCGCCGTGAGCAATCTCTCTGGACCGCTCCAGTGGACACAGCATGCGCGTGCAATATTTCCCGCAAGTGTCTTGACCAATATTCGAAGGAGAACAAACACCGTAAACATAAACTTTTGGCGCTCCGCGCGGATTTCTTGAATCCGCGCTGGGCCCCCCGGCGGCGCCTCCGGCGCCGCCTCTGGCGCGCTCCGCGCGCCAGGGAGGGGGGTTCAGCGCAGATCCAAGTAATCCGCGCGGAGCGCAAACAAGTTTATGTTGATGCCGTTTCGTCTTCTGATTGTCCGTAAGTGTCTCGACCCAGGTGGGCTGGGCAAGTCTGGCCCCCCCGCCTCGCACTGTCTGCATCTGCATGGGAGCTCTCGCTGACTGACTTACTGAAGCCGTGCATCCCTGGCGGACGCGTGGGCAAATTGGGCGAAACAAACTATCACGGAATGTACAACTGCACATGCACAGGAGGAAGGAGAAGGAGGAAGGGGGGGGGAGGAGGGCATATTACAAAAATCTGTAAACTGACGTCGCCCAAAATCTGTAATCTGGGAGCTCTCGCGTTGTCCAGCTTCTGGGTCACGCCTCCCGAGGGGGTGGTCCTGCAGGCGAGCGCCCAACTCCTCTTCCGCGCGCGGGAGCGCGCGCATGGCGGAGAGAGCAGGAGGAGGGGGAAGGAGGAGGAGGAACAGGAGGAGGAGGAGGAGGAGGAGGAGGAGGAGGAGGAGGAGGAGGAGGGGGAACGGGAGGGGAGGAGGAAGGAGGAGGGGGAGGAGGAGGAGGAGAGGAGGAGGAGGAGGAGGAGGAGGAGGAGGAGGAGGAGGAGGAAGAGTAGGAGGAGGAGGAGGAGGAGGAGGAGGTGGGGGAGGAGGAAGTGGAGGGTGAGGAGGAGTGAATCCAGAAGGGATGAGTCAAGTTGCCCAGGTCGAGCAAGCCAGAGGGCCCCGCCTACTCCCACTCTCCCTACCACCATAAGAACCATAATGCTGGGATTAGAACGCGCTCCCCCCTAGCAAACGCAGGGCGTTCGCGTGCGGCCCCGCTTTCGACGAATTGGCGAAGGGAAAACCACGCGAGCGGCGGCAGCGGCGAAATGTCCGATGGCCGCTGCGAAGGCGAATCATGCGCCGCGCTGACGCAGCATTGTCACTTCCACTCACTGCGCGGCGCTCGGGCGAGGCCGGCATTTCGCCCGCTCTCGCGCGGCCCCGTTGTCGCGTTCTTGCTTTCACGCGCCGCTCCCGCGCGGGACGCCACTGCCGAGCGAAGCGAGTACGGAACTCCGGCGAGGGCTACGCGTCGCCCGCTCGCGCGGGCCCCCCCAAAGTTGCCGCGTGAACAGATACTTTTTTGGTCGGCGGCTCCCAGGCGAAGGTCAGGAAGCGGGTCAACAACGAACGGGGCGCGAACGAAGCTAATTGGCCGCGGTGGCATATGCACATGCGAGGGACAAAATGACCCAAATTAAACGCCAAGAGTGAAAAGATGCGCGCCGCGCCGAGGACGGGGCGCCAGTCTCCGACGAGGCCGGTGCTGCGCCGGAGCGGGAGCGGCAGTTCCGGCCGTTCACGCGTCGACGGAGCTGCGAGGCGAGAAATGCGCGCCGCGCTCAAAGCGGGGAGTTCGAGTCTCCCCTCCTCCTCCTGCTCCTCCTCCTCCTCCTCCTCCTCCTCCTCCTCCAGAAAAAAAGGCGGCGCAGAGGTGAGAGCGACGTTTGGGCCTTTCGCGCGGGGCGTGCGCCGCGTTCCACTACTGCAGCGCATTTTGCGGCGTCGACGGCAGACCGTCCATGTCGAGAAGAAACATTACATGTTGCAGCGTGTCACCGTGTAGGATGTGACCCCCCAGCTTGGCTGGCTATCGGCCGGCTAGATCGGTTTAACGAAGTTTCAGTATATCGAATGACTTTCGGCCCGTCCCTCCACTGTTCCTGGTTTGTGGGTCAGAGTTCTCAGGGATGTTTAGTCGGGTCTCTTCTCGGCGCTCTCGGGAACCTCTTGGGAGCAATGTTAGGGCCTCTTGGGGGCCTCTCAGGGGCCTCTTGGGAGTAGTGGTGGGGCCTCTGGGGAACCCCTTGGGGCATCTGGAGGCCTCTTGGGAGGCTCTTGGGGCCTCCCGGGGGGCCCTCGGGGCCGAGGGCTGGCAATCTCCGTTCGGGCCCATCTTGGGGCAGTAGTTGGGCCCTCTTGGGCCGTTTTGGGCAACCCTTGGGCCGTCTTGGAGCCCTCTTTTGGGGCCTTTGGGGCCATCTTGGGACGACCTTGGGGGCCTCATGGGCCATCTTGGAGCGTCAAAAAGCTGAAAACGCGAGAAAGCCAAACACATTCAAACCCCATGGGGCATCAAGGAGTGTTGCCTCTTGGGGCCCTCTTGGGACGCCTCTTGGAACACTCCGGGGACGTCTTAGGGGCCTCTTGGGCCGTGCCAAGTTTCACATACGTGGATATAGATATGCGTGTTCTATAAACCGTTGGGTTGGCGAGGGCGGGGAACGGGGAGAAAGAGGAAGAGGAACGACGAGGGCGAGGAAAGGGGAGGAGGAGAAGGAGGAGGAGGAGGAGGGGGAGGGGGAGGAAGACTTGAGCGCCTAAAATGCAGCAGCGATGCAGCAATACACCTTGTCAGCTTCAAACCCCCTCTTCACTGCCAGATGCGCCGCATTGACAGACCACCCAATGGGCATGCCATTTCGGCGGAAACCCCGTGTTCCAAGATATTGGCATGGCAGCGCTTTAGCGGATAGTAGTTGATTCGATAATTGGGGTTATGCATGTTCAACGAGGGAGGTGTCCAGCGAGAGCGCCGTTTTCAAATTTACCGCCCTGAACTGTGTAATGATTGCGCATGTGTACACTTCTGGCCATGAGGATGTCTTACGCGAGACATTGATGCTCAAAGGAGCCGCCCTCCACCCGTTCCGCTGCCGCATACGTGCGAGTTCACGGGGTCACGCGAGAGCCCCATTCTCAAGCATAAGCCGCGCCCCATCCTTAAGAGCGCATACAGATGTGAAACGGATGTTCGTGGCGAGAGCCTCATTTTAAAAGTAACCTTCTTTCCGTCTTTGTGGATGTTGCAAGCAAACGTGTAAGGCGATTACACGAAGCGCTACGCCGAGAGCCCCATTTTCAAAACGGCCCGCTTTCCATCCTTGTACTTGTTGCAAGCGTGTAAAACCAACGCATGCGGCGCTTAAGGCGAGATCCCCGTTTTGAACATGAGCCGCCTTCCATCCTCGTACGACGAAGGCAAGGCTAGAACCCCATGTTGCACTGTTTGCAAGCATTGCCAATGTGCTCGGCGCTAATGCGAGAGCCCCATGTTGAAAAGGGGGCGCCCTACAATTGTGTCGCTGCTACAGGTTTGTGTGGCGAGCATGGGCGGCGCTAAGCCGAGAGCTCCATTGTGGGAACGGGCCGGCCTCCATCCTTGCAGCTGCTCGGAACTGCAGGTTTCCGGGCAACAAGTGCGCGGACGCATCAGGCGGGTTTTTTGGTCCGCCTTGCGGTTATGTCTGGTGGTCTGACGGAGAGGAGCTGTCTGTTTGGAACACTTGTGGATCGAGGAGGCAGAAGGGTTTGGGCGAAGAGGGGGAGGTGGAGGAGGAGGAGGAGGAGGACACTCCCCTCATCGACTCATCTTATCTACCCCTCCTCGTCCTCAGAGGCCGTGCTGGGAACTTCCTGCGGAGCATCGAGGAGGAATGGAAGACGTCCGCTTGCCGTTGCCTTTGCCTTTGGAAAGGCCGTGGAGTTCGCGAGGAGTTGCAGTGGCTCTCGCCGAAGGGAGGATGAGGTTCTGCGGAGAGGGGGGGGGGGATAATCCCCCCGCTTCGGCGCAACTATATAGTTTCTCGCCCCTTGACGTGATGTCCCACCCCTAGACCCCTCAGTGTTGGATCCCGTCAACGTCCTAATACATCCAACCTTGCATCCTTCCCCTTCCCCATCCGTGGCCGCGTTCGCTGGCCGCGCCCCGCTCGCAAAGTGTCGACATGGCCTTCCAAGGCCCTTGCATCCTTACCGTGCGTCCGTAGTGGACGGGTTGACGGTTGACCGTAGGATTCCAACATGCCCCCAGTCGGATTTCAATGAGAGCCCAAGAGGGTTGCAACATGAACCCAGTGATGTCCCAATCGGATTCCAATCAGATTCTCGATCGATGGCTTGCCGATGGTACACCCGTGTTCCACTCATTGTTCCCAAGCGTATCCCATGTTCTTGTCCCAACCATGTTGTGGTGTTGGGTCCTCGCTTTGAAGAGACAGCGCCCCGCGTTCACTCCTTCCTCCGCCTCCTCCCTCCTCCCACCACCATCATTGTCGTCATCATCGTCATCACCTCCGCATAATAACCATCATCATCACCATCATCATCATCATCATCAGCATCATCATCATCAGCATCATTACCATCACCACCATCGCCGTCATCATCACCGCGGTCAGATTCATCATGATCAGCAGCATCATCATCATAAGCAGCAGCAGCAGCAGCATCGCCGACGTCATCATCATCAGCATCACCACAAGCAGCATCAACATCACCACCACAAGCATCATCAGCATCAGCATCATCAGCATCATCATCAGCGTCGTCATTGGTATCGTCATCGTAATCGTCATCAACATCAGCATCAGCATCAGCATCATTATCGTCATCACCATCGCCGTCACCATCACCACCATCGCCACCACTTTCGGCGCACCCCTCGCACGTTTCGTGGCCCGATAGGGAGATCCACCGAAGGCCCCAGTGGCGGTGCACACGCGTCCGCGCCACCCATCTCTGCCCACCTCTCACGTGTTTCGTTGTCCCATAGAGAGCTCCACCGAAGGCCCCAGTGGCGGTGCCCTCGGCATACCTCTCACACGGTTCATGGCCCCACAGGGAGTTTCACCGAAAGCCCCAGTGGCGGTGCTCACATGCGTCCGCGCCACCCATTTAGGCACACCTTTGACAAGTTGTGTGACCTCATACGGAGCTCCACCGAAGGCCCCAGTGGCGTTGTCCACATGCGTCCGCGCCACCCTTTTCGGCAAACCCCTCACACGTTTCGTGGCCCGATAGGGAGATCCACCGAAGGACCCCTTGGCGGTAGCCGCATGCGTCCGCGCCACACATGTCGGCACACTCCTCACACGCTCCGTGGCCCCATAGGGAGCTCCACCGGAGGCCCTTGTGGCGGTGCCCACATGCGTCCGCCCCACACATGTCGGCACACCCCTCACACGCTCCTTGGCCCCATAGGGAGGTCCACGGGAGGCCCTTGTGGCGGTGCCCACATGCGTCCCCGCCACCCATTTCGGCACACCCCTCACACGTTTCGTGGCCCCATAGGGAGCTCTACAGAAGGGCTCAATGGCAGGGTCCGCATGCGCTCGACGCCCAAGTGGGCACACCCGTCACACGTTTCGTGGCCCCATAGGGAGCTCTACAGAAGGGCCCAGTGGCAGGGTCCGCATGCGCCCGACGCCCATGTCGGCACATCCCTCACTCGGTTCGTGGCCCCATAGGCAGTTCACCGACGGCCCCAGTGGCAGGGCCCGCATGCGCCCGACGCCCATGTCGGCACACCCGTCGCACGTTTCGTGGCCCCATAGGGAGATCTATTGATGGCCCCAGAGGCAGGATCCGCATGCGCCCGACGCCCAATTTGCCACACCCCTCACACGGCTCGCGGCGATAAGGCGAGAACCACGTTTCCAAAGCGACCCGTCCTCCATCCGTGAAGCCCTTGCACGCTCTTAAGGCGAAGCCGCGCAACGTTACGGTGAGAGCCGTAGTTTGAAAACCACCCGCCCTCCGTCCGTGAAGTTGTTGTACATGTCAAGCTTCGCGGTCATAAACGGTGAGGAAGTCTCAGGCGAAACGCCTATTCTGCCTTGCCGACCCGTCTCGGGGGTTCGACAGGGAGGAGCTGCTGATAGGGAAGAGGGATACAGGAGTTGGAGCAGGAGGAAGAGTGATGACCAGACGAAGGAGACGGGGGCGGGAGGAGGAGGAAGAGGAAGAAAGGAGCGACAAAGGATTTCACATGCACTGCTCGGAATACCACCGGACTGGTCGGAGTGTCTCGTGTACGTGGTCGTTTTGAGGTGCTAAGTGTTGTCCCGCTTTGAAGTTCACGTCTATTCTCGGACGTGGAGAGGGTGACTCGAAGCACGCTCGGTTTCGACCTTCATCTCGCGGGTCCACGCTAGCGTTGGGAACGCAGGTGGATCGGTGTGGGTAGCTGAAGGGGTGGTCTCATATTTCGCTTCCCGCCATCAATCACCCTCCGTCGCCGCCGCTTCTGTATCGTCACGAAGTCCATCCACGATGTTGGCCTGCCCGGTTGTTATCTCGATGGTCCTGGTACAAGTCAAACCAGAGTGAGATTTGGTGTTTGCGAAGGGCATGCGCTATGGTATCATTGCTTTCTGGGACCGCAGACAGGCTTGCCAGATCACGTAAGTACGATTGTGTACCTCGCTCTAGCTTAGGTGCTACCTTTGGTTAGCTGCATAATGGACTCATGGACTGCATCTAGCGGCTATGAGTGGAGCTAACTAGCACGTGAGGCCATGGGTAGCAAACATTTTCCACTCAGCATGACTACGCACACTTGCCCGTGTGTATGTTAGTGGTTGCACGCGCTATATTTCCGCTATGCTACATACCCAACAGTGTGCATGCAGCGTGGACGCCAGGCTTGAACCACGCCCCCCAGCCAGCCGAAAGGTTGATGTTCTTCTGCGAGGTGGACGGCAGCAAGGGCCGCGGCCGCGAGTACGAGAAGTTCTCCCCCCTCTCGCGTCATTGCTGCCCTGCTGCTGCCCCACTCGGCCGTCTGTGTGTCCGGTTGCTTGCGCCAAGCCCGCCACCGTGCCAGCGAAGCACGCCGTGTGCCGGCCCTCCGAGCAACGCCCGCCGAGGCCTCCACGCGTGACGCCTCTCCGTGGGCACCTCTCGAGGAGGTCTCGTGGGGCTCCACGGGGCTGTCTTGGGGGAACTCGTGGGGCTCCTGCGGGGCGGTCTTGGGGCCCTCTTGGCCACGTCTGCCTCCCCTCCGCGCCTCTACCCCTCCTCGTCGCCCTCCGGACTCCTTGGAATTCTGCCCCCCGCTTTGTCCCGTTCCGTTCCGCTGCGGGATGGAGCGTGCCTGTGTGCGGAGGAAGTCGTGCAGGGGAAATGAGAAAAGGTGTGGTGTGGGGCAGTGCTCGAAGACAGGGCGTCACTCCTCTGGAGGCGCCCTTTTGCCTGCGCTCAGCTTCGCTCGAGGGAGGAAGAGAAGTGAAGGGAGGGCTCGTGGCTCTTCCGCGCCTCCGCTCCCCCCCAAATGGTGGGGGCCCCAAGACGTGCGTATGTAGTCAGAGATGTGCGCGCGCGCGTGCCGAAGAGTGTTCTGGCGCCTGCTTGGCGGGATGGCGACGTCGGCAGAGGTTGGTTGGGCCTCTGATTTCCGACGTGGATGATTGGACGTTTGTTGCAACGCGTGTGATCAGGGATGTTGTCCACGCTCACCTCTCGAGTAGGACATCGACCACAAAAGAGATTCACCCCGAACTTGAAACTTCCGCCGCGTCTACGAAAGCATGTATAATATTTGTATAGTAAATCATTTCTGTAGTTCGGCGACGAGCCCAGGGGGGAAGTGAGAAGGGGCGGGCCTTCTCAGAAGGCTCGGAAGAGCTCCCGGCCTTCTCAGAAGTTTCCCAAACCTTCCCCGAATACACAGAAGACCTCCCAGAAGGCTTGAGGGCTTGTGAGAAGGTCCGCCGCTTTCTGATCAGGCCTTCTCCTTCTCACTTCCCCCTCGCTCGCCGCCGATATACATATGTATATATATAGGTATAATCAGGGATGCTGTCCACGTTCACCTCTCGAGTCGGACATCGACTCCAGAAAGGGTCACCCCAGCATGAAAATGCTCGTCGAATCTAAGAAAGAAGATGCGACATATTCGTAGGTCTACGGAGACATCCCACATCTGTTCCGTAGACTCGACGAACAAAACATTTTCGGGGTGGAGCGGTTATGTAGTCGATGTCCCACTCGAACCTCCGAGCCACCACTCAAGCAGTGGCGAAGCGTCCTGGCTTGCCCATAGATAGGCCCACCAAAGAAAGTCCTAAGAACCTTTTGTGGTCTGCACCTTTGTGAACACATCGGGCTGATGTTCTGAGAGCACTGCTTTTGTTCTTAGGACTCTCCTTGGGTTCCGGGCAGCTTTCGTGGTAGGCCTATCTGAAGCCGGAACGGTCGGTCCCTCCTCAACCACGGGACCTTGGTATCGCTCGGACGTGTGCGTTTTTCTTTCGGCGAGGGCCATCGAGGAGCAGCCTTGATCATTTAGCGAAACAACCACGCACGAAACCAAAAAAAACACAGGGAATGGACGTCCGAGCGATGGCGAGGGACCCACCGGTGCCGGCCGGGCGGCCCCTCCTTCGGCAGGCTCGCCATCTTCGGCGACGTGCGCGCGCGGCGCGGGGCGGAGCTCAAGGCGCCGATCGCCGCCTTTGCGCCTGTGCCTCTAGGGGCACGCACGACGACGACGAACGACGACGACGAACAAGAACAAAAACGACGGACGACGACGACGACGACGAAGTGGCGAAGCGTCAAGGCTTGCCCATGGGCCCACCAAAGAGTGGTTTGAGAACGTTGTGTGGTCTGGACGAAGTCTGTGTTTTCAAGAGTTCTGGCCGGGCGCATCCTGTTTTAGCACACCGGGTGTTTGTTCTTAGAACGTTGTTGATGTTACTAGAGCGCTGCTGGGTTCGAAGAAGCTTTCGTGGTAGGCCTGTAAGAATGCCCTGGACGGTCGGCGTTTTTTGTTTCCAGAAGGTGAGAGAGAGCGAAAGAGAGAGGGAGAGAGAACACAAAAAACGACGCGCGCGACGAAAGCACGACGAACGCCGACGACGAACTCCGCCGCCCCGCGCCGCTGCCCCGCAGCGCTGCGCCCCCACCCCTTCTTGCTCGGCCTTGTTGCAACGCGCCGCGGGGGCCGGCGCGCGGGGGAGAGGGGGAGAGGGAGGTCCGCCACGGGTTTGGGCTCAAGGGCGGGACAACCACCCCGACCCCAATGATTGGCGTTTACGAGACGGCCCTGGGCGTTTCCTGAAAAGCCCTGCCCTGTTCGTTTCTTTCCTTGGGTGCGTGCACACAACGGCTTCGCTCGTCGGGGTGCTTCTTATGGGGTTGTTTTTTTTTGCTCTCTATATGTCTCCTCCCTTCCTGCTCCGCCTCGTTGCCGCGCGCTGCGGGGGCTGGCGCGCTGGGGAGGGGGGGAGAAGAAGGTTCGCCATGGGGGAAGTCGAGTCCGGAGTTTTTTCGCCGTTTTCGGGTCTTCGGGGCGTTCCACGGATCCCGGGACAGTCATGAAACAACTCGGGACGAAGCGCTCTTCCTGGGGGGAGGCCCCAGGGTCCATGACCCGTTTCCCTCAGGACCCGTTTCCCCCATGCTAAGAGGTGGCAAGGTCGGCCGGACGTGTTTCATAGCTGGCCTGGGGCTCCAGAAAATTGCCACATCGTCACATCGTGCGATGCGCGATCGGAAAGGGGGCTGCGCATGGAGGAGGAGGAGGAGGGGGAGAAGGAGGAGGAGGAGGAGGTGGTGGCGAGTGAACGCGAAGATGATCACCAGGAGAGGAGCGCTCACGGGCAACGTTCCGGGGGAAGGAGGAGGCGGGAGCACAAGAGGGGGGAAACAACAAAAAGAGGATGGGGGAAAAAGGAGGAATAGGAAAGGAGGAAGAGGAGGACGAGGAGGAGGATGGGGTGTTAGATTGTGGCGCTCCGACCGGGTGAGCAGGATCGGTTAGTGCGATTGTCGCCTTAGTGTAGCAGTTTAGCAGCAGAGTCAGGCACCAGACGATTTGTAAACTTGGTATTTGGCTCAAGTGTGATTGCCGCTTCGTGAAAAAGCTGCTGCCGTATTCTCATTGAAGCGGATCCCGTGATTCACCCCTGGTTCCAGAGCAGAGGTGGCAGCGGCGGCAGCTGCGGCTGCCCCCGCGAGCCCCGGAACGATGCCCCGGTATACGATGCGTCGTTACTTGGAGTACGAGTAGATTGGTACAACATGGGCTCGAAACGCGTGAGTGAATGCAGGGCGATTCAGGTGGCAGGGCTAAATTCCGACAGTGGAGGGGAAAATTGCTGAATGCAGTCGCCGGAATGAAGCATGGTTGCCAGAAAGCCCTCATAATTTGAACAATAAATTCGGAACCATGGGTGGGACCAGTTCCGATGCCGAAAAGGACGGCAGGATACATATTATGAGTGGGAGGTTAACAGCAGCGTAAACCACAGCGCCATAAATCAAAATAGTGGAAATTCTTTACGCTTCGCGTATCCCCACCAGCCCATCGCAAAACAGCAACTCTTGCGAAACATGCCGACAGTCGTGTGTTTCAGGCGTGTTTCCGCCTGCCCCCGCATATCTCCCCTGTTCCTCCTTCCTCCCGCCTCCTTGTACATCCTCCTTGTGGTGGGAGCGGGAGAAGGACGAGGCGGAGGAGGAGGGAGAGAAAGCGCTCCTCGTGGTTTGAGTCGTTTGGGGTTTCTCGTCCTGGTGTGAGTCGTTCGGGCCCTTCTTCCTGGTGTGAGTCGTTCGGGCTCTTCGTGGTGTGAGTCGTTCGGGCTCTTCGTCCTGGTGTGAGTCGTTCGGGCTTCTCGTGGTGTGAGTTGTTCGGGCCCCTCATCCTGGTGTGAGTCGTTCGGGCCCCTCCTCCTGGTGTGACTCGTTCGGGCTCCTCGTGGTGTGAGTCGTTCGGGGCCCTCGTCGTGGTGTGAGTCGTTCGGGCTCCTCGTGGTGTGAGTCGTTCGGGCGCCTCGTCCTGGTGTGAGTCGTTCGGGCCCCTCCTTCTGGTGTGAGTCGTTCGGGCTCTTCGTGGTGTGAGTCGTTCGGGCCCCTCGTCCTGGTGTGAGTCGTTCGGGCTCCTCGTGGCGTGAGGCGTTCGGGCACCTCGTCCCCTTTTGGGGCGTCTTGGGGGCCTCTTGGCGGCCCCAGGGGCTTCTAGGAGCGTCTTGGGTGCCTTGGGGGAGCCTCTTCGGGCCTTTTGGGAGCCTCTTGGAGGGCCTCTTGGCGGCCCCAGGGGCTTCCAGGAGCGTCTTGGGTGCCTCGGGGGAGCCTCTTGGGGCCTCTTGGGGGCCTCTTGGGGGCATGTTTGGGGCGTCTTGGAGGCCTCTTGGGGGCCTCCTGGGGGCCTCTTGGGGCCATCTTGGGGCCTCTTGGTGCCTCCTGGGCGCTTCTTGGGGCCATCTTGGAGGGAATCGACCAAAGAAGAGGGGAGCTTGAATTAGCGCTGCCCCCTTCAGAAGGGCAAAATGGGGCCAAAACCTTCGTAAAATCACTGATTCTGGCTTGAAAGAAGAGGAGAGCTTTAATTAGCGCTGCCCCCTCAGAAGGCCAACATGGGGCCAAAACCGTCGTAAAATCAATGAGTTTGGCTTCAAAGAAGAGGGGAGGGTTTTTTCTGCCTCCCCCCGTCGGGGCCAGAATCCTCGTGAGGGGTGTCGTCTTTTAGCCCTCCCAGGAGTCGAAAATGACCCCTCCGACGACCCGCGAGGCGCCCTCTCCAGGCCCAGGGGGAGGGGGGAGGGGGAGGGGTAAACCCCTCCCCGAAGGGGACGAAGGGGGGTTGAGGACAGAGAGAGCTCGCTAAACCACTCACGCCGAAAGGGCTGGTGGGATTGCCCAAAAGGGGGATCTGAGTTGGAAAACGACTATACCAAGTTGGACGAGGATCCCTGGCTTGTGATAAACGGCAAAAATCTAAAGGAAAGTGCAACCTCGCTACGTCTATCATCGCCCCCTCTCCCCTCACTCGCTCCTGTCTGTGCTGCTTTCACCCTTTCGCCCCGACGCCGCCCCCGCCCGTTCAGGGCCCTGGAACTTGCTGGCGCGAGGCGCCCGCCGCGTGCATCCGGCGATGCACGAGGGTCACCGACCCTGCGGAAACGTCAATGTCCGGGCGAAGTTCAGCACCAGGAGCCCCTACTGGACAAGGCTCAGCACCAAGAACCCCTACTGGGCAAGGATCACGACGAGGCTCAGCACCGCGAGCCCCGATTCGATTAGATGACGAAGATTTTGACGGCGACCTCTCACCCGGGACTCGCACGGAACAAGCTAAAGGCAGAGGAAGAGAGCACTCCCCCACAGGACCGAGAGGTGATTTGCCCCATCCTCCGGAGTTCAACGGCGAAGTGGACGACCTGTAGATATCCGAGCGATGCAAGGCTCAGTTTGGCAGCGGGTTTCTGGTTGCTAAAGGTAGCGTCGGGCCAGATAAGATGGCGCCACATTTGCACGTGGCGCTGAAGGATCTGGTTTTCGACTACGTCGAAGATGCGAGCCCGACGGTGCACGCGGTGCCCGACGGCGCTGAGCTTTTGCTCGAGAAGTCGGCTTTGTTCGATCGGCGCCCCACGGTGGAGATCGGAGCGGCGGTGAACGATTCCTTGCAGATGGGCCATATCAAAGCCTGACGAGACTCTGCTGCAGCTGGCGACCAGAGTGGACAAAGCAGCATTAGAGGCCAAGTCCTTGGAGTTTGTGGGTAATTCCTGCCCTTATTACTATCGGGCAGTTTATCTTATGTTCCCAACTCGGCGCCGAGACGCGGGCGACTCTGCTCACGGCGGCCCGCTCGGCATCCAAATGGAAAGAAGCCACAGGCCGCTACGTTGTTTCTTCCACCGGTGCCTCGCAACATGCACCAGGGATATCGGAGGTTCAGACATCCGAGTCGGGCACGCGTGGCATCGAACGAGGGCATCATTGGAGAGGAGTGGAATGGGGGCCCAATTTGTCACGAAGAGGCACGGCCTGGCGACGAACGACACGAGCTGGACCATGACAGCGAGGACTTTTTGGCCGAGGGGGCCGACGATGGTTTGTGGTCCGAGCAGCTCCCGGAAGCTCTGGCGCGAGAGGCCCGCGCGGCGCGCGCGACGTTCAAGCAGGCCCGCGCCAGGCTGAACCATGCAATCAGAGCCCGCGGTGACTACCATGCCAAGGGTGGCAAGCCTTGCGCAGGCTCTGGCAAATCGAAGCCTGGCAAGGGCTTCGCGTTGAGATCCCCTTATAAAGGCAGAGGGGGCGACGGCCGGCAGGGCCGGGCGCGACGCGGCATGTCCCTGTCGGGGCTGAAGACGGCGACGAAATGACCGGCCCGCGGCGCTCTCGGGGCTAGAGACCCCCGGCGCGGAGCTGCAGGGAGGAGGGCGACGCCGCCAGTCGGGGCGGCAAACGAGACGGCGCAGTCATCGTCGGACAGCCGGTGGCCAATTTGATGCGTTTCCCAGCCTGGCGCGGCGAGGGGCGCGCGCGACGGCGACCGCAGGTCTGGCGCGGGCGCGGACTCATCGGCATCTACGCGACAGGGCTCTACGGCCTAGCGAATATCAGTTGCGGCGTATCCCGAATATGCACGTCGCGCGATGGCAGCGACTTCGAATGCACACCGACCGCTTGGATTCCGGAGACCTC